ATCTTAAAACAATATAAAATGAAATTTATAAGTCGATGTATGATAATACAGACACATGTTTTAAGTCAAATTTTAACCTTACAAATACCTTATATTTTAAGTTTTAAATAATTAATTTGTTTATTCAACCAATAGTTTCATATGATCAATGTTACTGATCAAAAGTCACAGTAAAAGAATATATAAAAACATAAAAAATAATAATGAAATTTAAATCTACATAAAGAGTGTACTAAATAATATTATAATAAGAAAATAAAACAATTAATGTTAAAATAATAAAATATTAGTATGCGAAAACACCATGATTTGTAGACAAGAAATATGAAATATATTATAATTTATGTATGTAGCTAACAAAATTTTAAACAAACATACATATTTTGAAATAGTAATCATTAATATCCAAATGGTTAAAAATCACTTCAAATTTTCACATTCATGCAAATATAGATATGAGAAAACAAAATTAATTCATTTCAAACCAATCATTAATATATATATATATATTTTTACAAAAATGGGTTATTTTTTTTCAAACATAAATAATAAATTATTAGATAAATCAAACTATTTATTTTTAAATATAATAAAATTGTAAAACAACACTCGCGCGAGCAATTTCTAGTGCATACTAAAGATGCTAAAATACAATCTGTGTGAGCATAACTCATCTCCCTAGAGGGGCTAACTTCTGCTCGGTTTTCCTTACTCTGGGTGTACGGTGTTACTGAAACCCCTTAATGTCATTCCGAAGACTATCCTCACGATTTCATTTGTGCAAGTTTAACCATCCCTCCAGTGAGTAAGACGTATGAGGAGGCAAGCTTGAAACAAGATGCAACAAAGTATATTATTCGTGGCTTCTTTTCGATAAGAAGCTATTAAATCCTTGATTGCTCCGAGTTCATAAATGATGTTGAAGATGCTTTCATGACGATATAAAGCAGCAACGTGAAACAAGCTTTGGTTTTTTCTATCGACTTCCCATATTAAATCAGGATATGAACGAATAAGAATGACTAAGAACTCGACATTTCCTGCCGATGCAGCATCAAAGAGTTGTCTCGTAGGTTTTCTCAGTAAATTTGAAACCTCTTGATCAGATTTTTGAATAACCAAGTTCCATATATTCTCCACCAACTTGTGGGGCTGAACTTCTCATTTTAGCTTCACGAAACATCCCTTCAAACACTAAAAAGGCCAAAAAATCAAAAACAGTGGATGTAAGGATTTGCAATCATATAAGTACTAGTATTTAACTATACAACTTACTTGAATTCCCTAACCACTGAAAGAAATTGAGATGTTTTCGGTGTCCGAAAACCGAAGGCTTGCGAGCCAAAAGATGTAACCCGGTTTCCCCAGCTCGGTTACGAGAAATGGCTAGTACTTGGTCTTTTTCCAACATCTGCAAAGCTACATCTGAAAAATACGAAAGATCCGGCTGATTTGGAGTTGGAATTTGATCAGGCAACGAAGTGCTTGTTCCTGGAATATCCAGTGCTACACTTAAATCCAGTTGAGATTGGTTGTTACTCTCTGCCGTACCATTTGATCGCTCATAATTTCGTTTTGTTGTTGTCTCCAAGTTATGAAGAGGAGCAAGAAACAAAAATACAAAACAGAGGTTCTCAAGTTAATTCAGTTAAGTGAAAAGACAATATTTTCAAACGCAAGTGGAGGAAATTTGTTTCATTAAGTATATAAAAGTTGGTGAACGATCAGTTTTGAAAGAGTCCTTTGTGTTTTTAAATACATTTTTTTGAGGAAATTGAGAAATATGAATCTCTTGAACAAGTTTCATTTGTCTTTAGATTTCTAAATTATTACTATTATATTTTCTTTCTTGGATTAGTTAATTAACTAAATCTCTCAATACTAAATTGGCCAAACGTACTTTTAATGCATTTGCATACACATCCCCTGTCTGTTATGGACCCTTCGAACCTTACAAATCCGTAAGAAAATAAAATCTTAAACCTCATTTAATCAAAGAAGTAACCATGATTCATGAACCATCCTAAACCGAAGTTGACAGTAAAAATAACAAACCCTCTCTAACAATCATAGATAGTCTCGTTAACTTCAGGCATATCTTAATCAAAAAGAGATGAAATTATTCTTGGGATAATGATTAGCTCAACATTAAACATCGGCAAAATAATCCAGAACTAATGATTCCGCATCCGACAAGATCGAGTTGATCAGTCCTGAGCCGTCCCTCCCCATCTCTGAACCCGACTCTCGGCTTGCTCAGCCTGCAGAATTCAGAGGTAATAAAATGATTAACCAAACACAATGAGGAACATTAGTAGAAAGAGGATATAGAGACCAAGTAAAGAGACCTCTTTGTCCCAGTTAGTGTAGTAGATGATTCCAACCAATACAAGCGTCTGYAAGCAGATTCCAGCTATCATACCCCCCCATATCCCCTGCACATAAATTAGCACCAAAAACGAAACGAACAATCAACATTAATACGAAACCGAACTAAAACTGAACCAAAACTAAAGTCAAGTCGATAACATACATACATTTATACAAATATATGTGTAAATAAAGTAAGAAAAATATTCTTATTTTCAATTATCCAAAACTAAACTAAACCCAATCCCAATCAAACAAATTTGAGGTTCCAACTTTGTTAAGATTTTCGAAAACAAAAACAGAGAAAACCGAATGTCAGTTGAAGCATGCTGCGGGGGAAAAGTCCGACTCTCCCCCCCAGAATTCTACGGGTTTACAGTGTTGGTTAAAAGCTAACCTGAACGCCAAGTTCTAGTGTGAATCCAAGAACAAGACCAGCAGGAAGTCCGATAATATAGTAACTCGCAATGTTCACATATGCGACCAGTGACTGCCATCCAGCTCCAACCGCAACCCCTGAAACATGACAAAAGTGATCCCAACTTAGTATTTTTGATCCTTTATTTCGTTTGTGCCACCACTCAATGTGAGGTACCTGACAAGACCGGCTGGAGGCTATTCAAGAGGACAGTGAAGGCCAACAAAATGGCTATTCTCGTGGTTTCCGCTGCCACAGCTTCGCTAGAAGTAAAGAGATGAGGGAAGCGGTCTTTTGTGGCTAAGACAACAGCCATGCACACAATGCCGATAAGAGTTGAAGTTATGGAAACAACTATTACTGAGAATTTCGCTAGCTTTGGATTTCCCGCACCAAGTTCATTTGATACCCTCACACTGATCACATCAAGAGATAAATTTACCAGTATATGAGATTTTAGTTAGCTTTCTTATGTGGCTGTGGACAACTAAAATGAAACAGAAAACGTAGAAGTTACCTTATCGCAGCGTTAAACCCGAGTGAAATCATGGCGGTCCAACCTTCTATGTTCATGCTGTATACATATAAATATACATAAATTGCTGTGAAACCCAAAACTGTAAAAAAAAAAAAAAATTTACTAAACAAGCATATCTTCAATGGGTTCAGCACAAATCAGTTACCAAATGGAGATAGCATCGACTGGTATCAACGGATTAGGAAGGAGACCCGTAACAACGACCAGAACCATCAAGTACCAAAACTCCAAACTGCAGAATGGAGAAACAAACCCGTCATTTTAATCGGAATCTTAGCTTATGTAAGTCAAAAGCTATCTACTACCAAGCAAATTGAATGAATATATTTTTGGTACCAGAGCATAACAGCAGAGGCTAAGGATAGTCTGACAAATCCAAAGAGGTCCCGGAACGCAAGCATAGAAAATCCACTCCAAGCACCGTCTGATTTTGTGATTAAGATATACAAAAGCTGACCGATAACAATTAACCACCACGACGTATTAAGAGTGATGGCTGCACCAACAAGTCCCCACTTAAAGTAAAGGATGAAGAGCCAGCTAAAGACTGCGTGTATAATCAGAACCACTCCAGAGATCCAAGCCATAACAAGCACTTTCCTCTGTGACTGTAAGAATTTCTGAATCGGAAAGTTGGCCGCATAGGCAAATAGTTGTGGGATCATCCACAGTGCAAATTTCCCTGTAAAGTAAAGCTTAAAAGAGTTAACGTGTCTCATAGGCTTTCATCTCAAAACCAATTTGAAGAAACGTATGATAGGAGTGATACCTGCGGCTTTAGAGATGTGAGGAGCCTCGCCGAAGAAGGAAAGAATAGGAGGAGCCCAAATGTAGATGGGAAGCATACATAGAGCAGTGGTAAAGAGAATGACCCAAGAACGCTGCATATATATTCCCAGCATCCTAAGCTGTCCTGCTCCATATGCTTGTCCGCACAACGTCTCCAACGCACTTCCCATTCCTAACTGCACACCATTTTCAATCACCACAATGTTTAACTTGGTAGTATTGTTTGATCTCTTAGCTTTTTCCATAAGAATGATAACATAAGAAGGAAAAAACTTGTTTGCTACTTACAAAAACTAAAACCGTGGCACTTGTGACAACATTGCAAGCAACATGTCGCACAAATTTTAACTTTTGTCTTTCATCTTCTACATTCTTAAGATCTTATTGAATTTTAAATCAACTACAGTTAGTACTCACTCTACTAACCATAGCCCGATACGTAGACAAACCTATAAAACATGACGTTTCTATGTATTTTAACTTGGGATTGAAGAATTTTCAGGTGAACTTTCATCTTGATGCCTCGAGGTTACTTTTAGAATCATATTCAACACAATAAGTGGGAAGTTGTTAGAGTAAAGTAAAACTATAACACCTTTAAAACTACATTATTTGAAACTATACAGTGTTAGTTGCCAATGTTCACAAACATTTATGCATATATGGAAAAAAGAAAAAAAATCAATGGATTTTGAATTTATTTTAGTTTGAGAACTGAAAACACAAAAGTCGAACCTGCAAAAGTTCGAGGGATATAATTTTTTTATAACCATTTGCAAGTTCTAAAATTTTTTTACTACTATCCTAAACTTTTTAAAGTCATTGCTATTGGATATAATTAATTCATAGTGGTGTTTATCGTTTTTGGTGATAGGCTACAAATTGAATCTAACAGAAAAAACAAAAAACAAAAAACATGTGGTAATTAGTCGTCAAGCGTGTCTAGTAGTGGGAGAGGGTTAAGGGATATGGTCCTACATTCTTAAATCGTATAGGGCCGGCTCGTTGTATAGGGCGAGCAGTGCATGGCATAGAGTCTTAACTCGGGATC